GATAAGTGTGAAACTGATAGTGACGACGAATGATACTGAGCAGTAGTAGCAGTATGTGAATCGAAACAGAACTCGAATGAAAAGCGTTTCTTCAGCACTGCAATACCATGCACCACATTAATAATGATTTCATATCATGATTGCTCAATAGTTAACTATGGTCAAAGAGCGATCTCATCTCATGTGAACGTGCGATCTGATACGGGCTGGTTCAAAAATGTCGACACTCAAACCTTTGAACTGGCTTCAACTCAAATATAGGTGTAATCTCAGACTAACTCTAGGACTCAGCTTTGCTCTCTCTTATACTTGAAATCAAACTTAAGACAATCATCATTTGATCAGTACTTGACACTCTTCCATGCTGAACACTTAAACAGAAGCCTGATACATTTGATCTATGTATCAGAACACACCGAAACGGACATTCCGAACTAAATCTTTAAAAATCTGAATTTGATTTCAGAAAATGATCATTCTCAGTCGATATGCTCTGAGAAATCTTGCTTGTATAAACACACGATCACAAACACTTAGTAAGTATCGCATTGTAGAAATATTCCCCAAATTGGCTTCTAAAAATTTACTATGTTGCTTCAGCTAACATACACTTTGTTTTAGTCTACGCCCAACTTTTCCAAATAGTTTTGAATGACGATTGAATAATATTAGTATTTATCTTGAAGAATTCCCAAAGTGGAAGACAAAATCCGGTTTAGTACCTGTTTTGATGAAAACTCGTCTACCGGTCTCCCACTTAATAGCAAATAAGAGGCTCTTTTCATCCGTTATATACCAGTATTGTTGTTGTGGTGCGGTTGCTGTAAGAACAATCATAAAGAATGTTGGATTTACAAGTTAGACGATGAATGATTCAAAATATACGATGAATGGGTCAATGACAAAACTCGAAAAAAATTTCAAGAGGATCACTGATTGTGGAGGAAGTATGCCCAATGGCAATTGGAAATTTCGTGGATTTTCAGCACATAGTCCACTGAATGAGAACAACAATTCAGTGCGGTTGTTATGGTTGTTCTGTAAGTATATTTCTATCCAATAATGTAAAGAATCCTTCATATGGAATATTGCATTTAAATAAATTATTAATTGCAATCCATTCACCGTCCCATTTCAGGAAATCATCGAAGTTCGAATGCAACCGAGTGATTGATGCTTGTAGCTGTTTATAGAGATTACCTCTCCGCATATCCAACATAAATATATGTGTTGTATTAGTGTCGAACCATTCGATCTAAAACATTGCACTGATCAAACTGAATAGAGTTAAGCAATAGATTAGCCATGTTTAGCTAACGATGCTCTTCTCGGCACCTATGCGTTGATTATTGGTCATGTCCGTTTCTCATACACAATTTAAGTTATATGAGAAAAAGGAAGAAAACTTTTGTGAAGTAGTCTGTTCATTATCTGTCCTCAATGCTGGATGCTTACTTCTATTTCATCTTCGTCATCCTTTGGACGTGAAAGACTGCGACGAACATCACGCCAAACTTTTCTCATATTGCCTTCGTTGACGGTGTTCGATAATAATACACTCAGACAAACTAGAAATAATCCGATCGTGTCATATTCAATTGATTAATGTGAGGATCGACCGTCAAATAGTGGGCTTTCGATTAAATTTTATGTAATGTGAGATCGCATCAAAACAAGAAATCTTACGAAACAGCCTCAAACGTTGCACAATAGTGTCGTGCCACTAGAATAAATGCCTCAATCAAATCTGTGTTCAGTAAGGATCCGTGCTGCTTTTTTATCCACAGCGATAAACATCTATAAAATTGGCGGATTTTGTGAGACCTAAAACTGCAGTGGCTAGTCGGAAACACGCTAAACTTCGATTTCTATTTCGGACTTGTTTAGCACAGAGTGTGCGAATTCAAAAGTCTGAAGTGAGTGACTGAAATTATGAAGCGTTAAGAATTTGAATGAAACGCACAAAACGATCAATTACATCAATATATTGAAAAAGTTCAAGGACTGAAAGCGGAAACGAAAGAAACAACGAGAAAAAAATTAATAGAAATCAGTGGCAGTGAACGTATGAAAGAAGAATCGTGCGCTTGCCTATTCTGAGTGTAGAAGCCAAGCAGTTTAAATGCTTACGGAAGTTCGTAAGCAAGACGATGAAGTAACTCAAACAATTCGGATAGTAACAGAAAAATCACGAAACTGGAATGAACATGAATAAGAACTGGAATGAATAAGATGCAAAAGTTATCCCTCGAGACGAATTAAGTGCTTCGACATAATGTATAATCCATAACTATGTGCACATGAGGCTTTTAATGAAGAAACTGTTTGATCCAAGGTCAAAATTTTCGAATTTTTTCATTACAGTTTTGATATGACATTGTCGCACAACACACTGCTGCTAGCGATACGATGATACCCACTCATACACAAAATCTATATGTTGTTTGTTGGAAACAAGAGGGAAGATGAATGAATATATGAATGGATGAATGGATGGATGAATGGATACTTTTGGGATTGTAAGGATGGATCCAAAAGAATAAACAAGTAAATCATCATCACCATCACTCATAGTCGGTGAACTATATGATGAGCTGCGATATGCAAATTTTGTTTAGCCATAGCTAAACGAAGAGCAAACAATGACAACAACAGCACGAGTGTAACTTTGCTCACGACGAAAAAATGAGTGAATAATTCGACGTTTCAATTAAAAATCAAAATTGCACAGCTAAAATACCTGCTAAATTCATCCAGTTCAATCATCATCAGTTCTCATAACAAGCTTTTAGTCTAATCACGATGTGAGCGTTGCATACAACGTGTTATTCTTCCATTAAAGGCTTGCCTATGCAACACAAATGATAATAACTGTGCCACTGATAATTGACTCCAAATATAACTGTGCCATTCACGGTCACCATGAAACACTGTCCAAGCAGAAGTGTACTCATCTCCCATCTAACTGTCAAAAAGCCAATTCTTCTGAGTTCACTACAGCCTTAAGTTCACTACGGCCTCTTTTAAATGGAACTAAATTCTGAGGTTCACCTCAAACAAATATCATCAAAAAACAATTCTCATTCATCAGTGAAATATTTGACTGAAGAGTGGCGCAGTAAGAAATAAGAAAATGATAATAAAAGGGAGGTCGAGATATGGACGAACGTCTTGGATGGAATGAATGAGCGGTTAATGGATGGATGCCTAGCTTTTAAGTGATCACCGCTTTATACGTTTCACTCCCTTGAGTATCAAAAGTTTAGCTCACTTGTACATCACAAGCAAAACTTTATGATTCGCCCCAAACACGTCATTATCCATAAGCATATG